GCACCAGCTGTTTCAGGTTCGTTAGGACAGGATCTTATTGTGTCCACAGTCAGATATTATCCGCAGTGACTGGAAGGCTGTTCAGAAAGCTTACAAACAAAATGCCACTTGGTTTCCTGGACAGTGTTCTAACTTGTACACACTGAGAATAAGGGCCCAACACTGAATTCTACCAGAAGCTATGGGCAGCATGCCTTGTCTTCCTTCAGTACCCTAGCAGGGGTTTGTGATCTGTGATTATGACAAATTCCCATCCGTTAAGGCACTAGTGGAACTTCTTCACACTAAAGATGACTGCCAAACCTTCTTTCTCTATCTGGGCATTCTTGCGTTTGGCATCAGCCAGAGTCCGGGAAGCATACACTATCGGGCATTCCTATCCTTCGGGCCACCAGTGAGCCAACATACCCCAATACTGCACCGGGAGGCATTACATGTCAGCACTACTTCTTCCTTTAGATCGTAGTGGGCCAACACCTTAGATGACGATAGCTGCTTTTTCACTTCCCTAAAGGCTGCTTCTGGTCTTCGCGACCATTTCCAAGGCTGACCCTTTTTTAATAGCAAGCATGAGGGTGCCAAGATGGAGGCCAGGTTATGTATGAATTTTCTGTAATAATTCATGAACCCAAGGAAAGACCTATGCTCTGGTACAGATGTGGGAGCTGAGGCTTCTTTGGCCACTCTCAGTTTCTCTTCTAATGGTTGTAAGTCGGTTTTGTTGACTCTGTAACCCAAGTAGGTCACTTGTGTGCCTGAAACACAGATTTTCCCTTCTAAGGGGTACGCCCACCTGGAAGAAATGTTTAAGCACTATGTCCAAGTTCTCCAAATGTTCTTTATTGATCTTTCCTGTTACTAGTGCATCATCCAGATAAATGGCAACGTGGGGTGGTCCTTGTAAAATGTTCTCCTTGGTCCACTGGACAAGAGCGCAGGCTGATGATATCCCAATTGGCAGTCTTGTATATTGCTACAAATCTTTATGGGTATTAATTGTAGTGTACTTCTGGGACTCCCCATCCAGTTGCAATTGCAGTTAGTAGGCATGGCTCATGTCAAGCTTCCTGAAGGACAGCCACCACCCCCGCCAACTTTGCCTACAAATCCTCTATGTGAGGGATCGGGTATTTACCCAACTGCGAGAAGCAGTTTACTGTTTGTTTAAAATCCCCACAAAGGCGAACTGAGACGTCAGGTTTCACAATCGGTACGATCGGTGCTGCCCATTCTGCAAACTGTGTACTGGTTTGATGATTCCTTCACTCTCCAACCTCCTGATTTCAGCCTCTACTTTTGCCACAAGGCAAATGGCACTCGGTGGGCCTTGCAAAATCTCAAATTGCTTCATGGTCGATATGCAAATTGGCTTTGGCACCTTTGACAGTCCCAAGCACTTCTTGAAAAACTCCTGGGTATTTTACTAGGACTTCACTGAGGCAACCATTTTCTCATCAAAAGATGTTGAGCCATTCAAGGTGAATTTTCCTCAACCAATTCCACCCCAGTAGGCTTGGGTCCGAGCTTTTTACTATCATCAGTTGTAACTGCACCAGTGGCTTCTCATAGGGGACCATAACTGAAGTCATACCCTTAATTTGCAACGGGTCCCCCAGTGTACATTCTCAGTCTGGCTGAGATCTTGTGCAAGCTCAAAGGTAGAAGTCCCGAGCAAATTTTGTTAAAGACAGATTCTGGAACCACAGATACAGCTGCACTGGTATCGACCTTCATGGGAAGTGGGTGACCATTTAACCAAATATTAATTTTAATTGGCTCTGATTTGGGTGTCACTAAGTAATTTAATTGTAGGGGAACTTTACAGGGTGTGCACTCTCCTGGGTACCGGCCTCCGAGTCTTCAAACTCAGGTATGGTCTTGTAGGATTCCTTTGCTGTCTCGAGTCCGCATACCGCCAGCAATTATCATGGCTTGCCAACCCAACCCTGAAGAACTGTTTAGCCATTTGGCCAAAGTTTGGCTTTGTTGTGGGGTTCTGCTGTGGGTCTGCTCAGGACATGCCCTGTGTGAGGCTCTGCAATTGCCTACACTCAAGTGGTGTTCCCCAAGCTCAGTCGGTGTCCACTCTCCTTTGGGATGCCCTGCAGTTCCCATGCTCCACTTGCAGCATTTTCTTATAACAGGACCAGCTGCACTGGCTGTTTGAAGTTCCATTGTGTTTTAGCTAGTAAACACTTCTGCACGGCTACGTCATTAATCCCACGTAGCAAAGGGTCTCTCAACATCTCATTCAGGGTTAACCCAAAATCACATGCCTCTGCCAGTCGTTATAATCTCGTCAAAAATCCCGATTCAGAATCCCCCGGTTCTCTAACAGCCAAACAAAGGATTGAGCATCTCAGGATTAGGGGACGTTTGGGGTTGTAATATTCCTTAACTAACCCTGTCAACTCTTAGAAGGTTTTATTGTGTAGTGCCTCCGGGTAAGTTAAGCCCTTTATAATTGAAAATGCCGTGGGTCCACACGCAGTCAGAAGGATTACTCGTTGCTTTTCATCTGCCCCAATGTCATTTTCCTGGAAAAAATTTTGCATTCTTTTCACATACTGGGCCCAGTCTTCAACAGCAGGATCAAATAAGTCAAACCTCCCAAACAGATGCACGATGCCAGAAATGCATACCCCAACTCTAAGATGACAGTTACAAGTAAATGTCCTTCAGGCACGTCCTGTTTTCGCCCCGTCACCACGAAAATAACTGCACAGAGGCCGGGGTGTCCCGTCGCCAAATTATCCTTTATTTACTGAATCACAGTACACTGGCTGTAGCCAGTCAACTCAGAGTCATTCCCCAACTGAGGAGATGCTAATCTCCTGGTTATATTGATCAGCCAGGGCTTTCCTGGTTGGCCCAGTTTAACAACCCCAATCAAGAAGCTCATATTTAACAAGGTCCACCTGGTTCCAATTACTACAAACACTCAAGGGACTTGGCACCATCCAAGGCAAAGCAGCCCATTTGACTGGCACCCCAACCACATTTACTTCCTTGACCATCACTGCACAGTTGCATCAGTGTGCACCATAAATAAGATGAACTTCGGCAATTCACCAAGACTACTTTGAAAGCACCCTCCAAACCTGCAAATAAACCCCAAAGAACTGCAGATACTGGAAATCAGAGGCAAAAGCAGAAATTGCTGGAAAATCTCAGCAGGTCTGGCAGCATCTGTGGAGAGAAAGCGGAGTTAACGTTTCAGGTCCAGTGACCTTCCTTCAGAACGGATTGCAGCTAGGAAAAGTTTGGTATCTATGCTGAAGGTAGGGTGGAGAGACGGGGTAGAAGGAAAACAGTTGGACAGACAAAGGAATGGTGAAATGTCAGCTGGGAGAATCAATAGCTGCTAATGGAAACTATTAATAGCTGACAAAGGGTTGTTTGTGGTAGCAGCCCTTGTGATGATAAGGCCGGGTGTGTGGTGCCTTCGGTAAGGAACACAGCAGAAAGTATTCAAGCACTAAAATTATTGAACTCAGTATTGATTCCTGAAGGTTTCAGGGTCCCTCAGCAGAAAATGAAGAAAATCCGCTGAGCTTCAAAGGAGCACTGCAGCAAACCCGAGACAGAGATGCTGGCCAGGGAACATGGTGATGGATTGAAATGGCAGGCAATTGGAAGCTCAGGGTCATTTTAGTGGACAGTATATAGGTATTCTGCAAAGTGGGCACCCAGTCTGTATTTCATCTCCCCAACATACAGCAGACAACCTTGTGAGCACAGAATATAGTAGAATAGATTGAATAAAGAATAGGTTAATCGCTGCTTCACCTGGAAGGTGTGTTTGGGGCCTTGGATAGCGAGGAGGGACAAGGTAAACAGGCAGGAGTTACACCTTCTCTGATTGCATGTGGAGATGCTGTGAGGTTGGGAGGAGGTGTTGGAAATTGAGTAGGAGTGGATGAAGGTGTCCTGGATGGAACAGTCACTGCAGAAGGTTGACAAACGAAGGGGAAGGGAATTTGTGTCTGGTATCCAAACCTGCAACTTTACCACCTGAAAGAACACAGCAGCAGACACATGGAAACACCTGTTGTGCTGCCTGTAAGCTCCTTTCCTAGTCACACACAATCCTGGCTTGGAACGATATCACCGTATCTTCACTGTTGTGAATTCAATAACCTGTAACTTCCTCCCTAACAGCACTGTGGGTGCACATACACCAGATGGATGGCAGTAGTTTGAGATAATGGCTCACCTGCACCTTCGCAAAGACAATTAAAGATGGCGACAATGCTCACATCCAATAAATAGATTTATAAAAATGTACAACATCAGATTGCAATGTCAAAGGGAAAAAGGCCTAATGCCTCTTCCTAATGGAACAAACCAAAGCTCAGAATTGGCAATAAGGGTCCTAAGAGCGCTGGTAACAAAATTCACATAATGTTGGTCATTACTGGCCCCAGGGATCTCATTATTGTTCTTGTCAAGTCACATAAACCATTAATGACTTTAATAACCAATCATACCCCAGTGAAGTTACTATTTCAGTGCACTATATTTTACCTTATTAAGTAACTCCCTGTAGATACCAATCAAACTATAAGAACATTGAGTAATCTATCCAAGCCTGCACTTGTAATTTAATGAAAGCAAACTGAAAAGAAAAATATTTTGTCTCCGTCAATAATATCCAATTAACCTATCAGCAGCAGCTGCTTGCAGCCTGTGAAAAGACTGTTTTCCTGCTGATGGGAGGTGGTGAGGCATTGGAAGAGAGGTCAGATTCTGTTTTTTGAACAGTTTTGCTTCTCTGAGAGAGAAGCTACAATTTTGGCCAGCTCATCAACAGGAGAAGAAAATGGTGATTATGACCTCTCCCTCCACATCATTTAAACTACTTGCTCCTATTAGTGTGACACAAACATTCACCTATGGATTAACTGCCTTCAGTTAGTGAAAATGCAAAATGCTGCCAATATGCATATTTTGTAATGAGAGCTAAAGAAGTATTATTCCAGTAGCTCTTGCAATAATACCTTTAGTGTATCCTTCTCCTTCTCCATACGCTGATATTCCAAGTGTTGCTTCAAAAGGGCAGCCTCTTTTGCACAGATCTCATCCTTCAGCTGGTCGATGTGGTGGTTCATGATTTTCAGCTTTCGTTTCATTTCAGCTATCTCATCCTTAAAGAGCAAAAGTGTAAAAATGAATAAAAGCAATCCTAAATACTTTGTTAAATTATAAAAAAAAAGCTGAAAATTTCTTCGTGTTCCAACAAAGAATACATTCACTCTCACTAATTTCTCTTCACCCTTCCTGAAGATGTAAATTGTGTGATAGGGTACAGTACTGGGCACTCTCTCTTGCCTCAGTGATATAGCCACAATTTATATGCAAAGCTACAGGCAAGCGGTGGTGAGTTAATAATCCATATAATGGAAACACAGCAGGAAAGCATTAAAGGCCAAACCAATCTTTTTCTTCGCTCATTACATACATACACAAAATACTTCCAATGATTGCAACCAGGAAGGAGGTTCATTTTCACTATTGTTAACCTCGGGACAATGAAGCCAATTGCTATGTACCTGCCCACATCAGCCAAGGCCAAGGGTCAAAACTAGGACCTTGTTAATTTACTTGGCATAGCTCCTCACAGAATAATGCCAGGACTTCAGGGGGAGCCTCTAAAGTGGAAGATGAAACAAATTTTTCTTTTACAATTTCTGTCTAGCTCAGAAATGATCATTGTTGAGCCAACAAATGTGTTCATGAGCTAAGTCTGTTGCAGATTCACCAACGTGATTTCTAAAATGATCAGTACCTCTCAAGTGCATGATGATTTTGTATTTCCAACTAGCCATTTTTTTCTCACATAGGATCTGCAATGACAGAGAAATTCCTTGACCTGACAAAATGGCAAAAATCCCCAAAAACCACAAATCCTACCCCCAAATATGTCATTTTTGGTTTTGAGTGGGGAAGGTTTGAAGACAGCCTGGGCTTTACACGTACACAGCTCATGGAGAAGGCTGGTCATTTACATGGTGAACTGCCTCCAATTAAATTCCATTTTAATATCTGTGTTGTCTAAAACCCAGAAGGGCAGAGCGGACCAGGTCAAAGCACGTCTGTTTCAATAAATTGATTTTGGATAGCTAAAGCTTCCCTCTGGAGAGCTGAAATATAACTATTGGTATGGTCTCAGGACTCCTTTGGGGGAAGTCATGGAGGTCAGGTGCCCTTAGGGTGGTTTGTAACATTCCCTCAGTGGAATTGGTCAGTTACCCTTTGGTATTATCAAAAGTAGACAAAAATGTGTCGAACATATACATAAACCTGCTGGAACAGTCAAACTGTCAAAGATCTGTCAAATGGTTGTGAGATTTATTATAAGCCTGAGGATTCCCATTTGCTGGATTAGTGCTATTGACAGATTTCACAAGGATTAATTATTACAGTGGGATAATGGCCTGCCATCTCAACTTGATCAACAGCTACATGTGCTTTTGGACTCTAATGTGGATCTTAATGCTTCCTGCACATGAATTAAATATTTATTTATGCAAGGCTTTATTGAAGTAAAGGAATCTAAATGTAATAATGTAGTAAAAAGTGTTTTTTTTTCCTCAATAGGCTGAAGTCTGCAACACACTGCTAGAACTTTATTCATTAGAACTTTGCTTGTTTCTTAACTGTGCATGGATCTTTCCATGATGAATACCACATCAGTTGGCATGGGGCAAAGAGTGGTGGGTGTGAGGGAGACACGAGTTGATAGGAGTTGGCATGTAAAGGGCAGGGTGGTGACTACAGGAGCAAGAGGTGGCATGAAGGCCCAGACAGAATTGGTAGAGGGCCATAGACTGGCATGGATAGGACATGGCAGTGTGTTTGGGTAAGATGCTGTGAGGTGTGTGGAATAGTTTTTGGTTTTATTTGTTTTTTTTGTTGAAGTGTTACTCTGTACTGATACATGGAAAAAACCTGGCATTGAATCCACAACCCAAGCCAGCAGCCTTGGCTCTTGATGCAGTGCCACGTGGCCCATCATTGAGTCATGGAGTCAGAGAGATGTATAGCACGGAAGCAGGCCCTTCAGTCCAACTCATCCATGCCAACCAGATATCCTAAATTAATCAATCCTCTTTGCCAGCATTTGGCCCATATCCCTCCAAACCTTTCCTATTCATATACCCATCCAGATATCTTTTAAATTTTGTAATTGTACCAGCTTCCATCACTTCCTCCAGTAGCTTATTCCATACACGCACTACTCTCTGCATGAAAAAGATGCTCCTTAGGTCCCTTTAAATCTTTCCCCTCTCACCTTAAACCTATGCAGTCTAGTTTGGATTCCCCTACCCTAGGGAAAAGACATTGCCTATTCACCCTATCCATGCTCCTCATGATTTTATAAACTTGTATAAGGTCACCCCGCAGCGTCCAAACTCCAGGGAAAATAGACCCAGCCTATTCAGCCTCTCCCTATAGCTCAAACCCTCCAACACCAGCAACGTCATTGTAAATCTTTCCTGAACCCTTGCAAATTTAAAAACATCTTTCCTACAGCAGGGAGACCAGAATTGCATGCTGTAATCCAAAAGTGGCCTAACCAATGTCCTGTACAGCTGCAACATGTCCTCCCAATTCCTATACTCAATTCATTAAACAATAAAGGCAAAAATACCAAACGCCTTCTTCGCTATACTACCTACCTGCGACTCTTATTTTCAAGGAACTATGAACCTGTTAGAGAATCCCACCTGTACAGAATTCCACCACTTCCAAATGAAAGTCAGGGCAAGTGTTGGAAATATTAGCAAAGTGTCTGTCAGCCTTTTCAGCATCCATTAGCTGGCTAGAGAGTATGATTATTCAAATCAGCTTTCTTATGTTTCAATTGTATTTCAATGTTAATGCTGAAAATGTGACCTGCAAACTGACATCCAATCAAACTCGATTAATAGATTGCATTCCTTTTTGTAATAGAATAATGTGAATATCGTTATAATGAAAGCAGGTTGTTTCGTGAATAAAATTAGTACTGATGGCTGTGAAATTCAGTTTCTAATTGTCCATTATGAACTGCATTCTAAAACTGGTTCCTACAGCCTGTGTTGACTAATTTAGAAAATTAACTACATGATCTAAGTGAGATTTCAATTGGCCTCAACAACTTCAGGCTTGAGCAGAGATGAAAAATCAGCTCCAGCGTGCTTTCTAGTGTCCCTCGGCCTAAAGAAATGTATTAATGGATACCAAATGAGGTCAAGATTGAGCTCAGCCGTGTTGCCTTCTGAAGTAGAACAGCTGCTGACATTGTCTTTCTCAAGTCACAAATGAAGAATGAGAACTGAGCTGAAGTAGTTTGTCACTCCAGCAAGTGCCAACTAACTCAGCTGGACCTGGAATTTACCCAATACTTCAAAGTGAGATTCACGTGAGCCAACATATAATACCAGTAATTGATCCATCCTTTCTTTTACCCATTTTTGAGGAAAAACAAACATTGAAACTTTAAAATGTTACTTTAAGACAATTTTTAAAAATTGATGTTTAAACCACTTGTGGTGTTCACCAGGCCCAAATTACATTTCTGAGAATGTTTCAGTTTGGTAATCGCATTACCACGATCCTGAATTGTGAATGCAGTCATGTGACAGACTGCAGGTTTGGATGAGATGGAAAAGGTTGTTGCTGACACAAAGGATATGGCACCACCCTTGCAGTGAAACTACCGGCTGTGCTAAGTACAGCCTGAAAATAGCAGCATGATGCACTGACGTAAGCCTGACCTTTCAGTTCAGGAAAATCAGTGACAAAGCTGCAATTCCCAGTTACATCATGACACCATGGTACAGAAAAGTGGATGATGCTGCTGGCGGTGTTTATTGTCAGCATGGAAAAAAAATGTAGGATGGCTGTTCCAACTGATCCAACTTGGAGATATTTCAGCAGGAACTGACATTCAGTGACTAAACAATACCACAGTACCTATTAAAAAAGTCTACACGAGCACTCTGGAGAAGAAGTATTCTTTTAAGCCTGTCAAAGAGTTACATTCAACAACATTTATAATAATCTTTTCTTTAGCTACAATCCATTAGCAATATCTTGCTGAAATAGGATTCACCTTTTTCAAAGTCCCTTGAGATGGAGTAAGAATTATTTCTGTTCCAGTTCAATAAGGTTGTGCAATGGCTGTTAAATCTAATGCTCAACTCTGAATTGACTACCGCATGGGGTAGAGGTGATGCTGGAAGAGTTAGTGGTTGGGCTGTTTGGAAGTTTCTGTGCTTCATATCACAGCTTAGCTTTGTCTCTTCATGGTCCTGATGAACTCTTTCAAGCTGTCCGATGCCTTCCTGAGCAAGCCTTCTCCACCTTGGTCTGGCAGAGGCTAGTATTTCCCATGCGTTGGCAATATGTTTGGTTTCTTCCACACGTTCTGAGGACATCCTTAAAACTATTTCCACTGTCACCCTTGTACTCTCCCTGTTAGAGAATTTCTTCTAATACGTGAATGACTGCAGCTGTCAGACTTTGAACTTTTTATTCATGATATCATGGAGAGTCCACGCTAACAAAGGTTAGATTCCGAAGACTCTGCAGCAATGCAGAATTACAGGATATTTATAGAGAGAGACAAACAAATCGACGGGACAGATAACAGTGATCTCATAGTCCAAAGCTAAACGTTCTCCTGAAATCTCATCATCTTCCTGAGCTGCAGGCTTTCTTCTTCTGTTAATGTTTAGCTAACATGCACTTATTTCACTGACTAAGACAAAAATGTGATTAGGATTTACTAAGACAGCAGTTACTAAGAACTAGGGGGGTTTGAAAACTTTGAGTTGACACTTCCTTTTAACGTTCTGTCTGTCACATAGTCTTTTTGCCTTTTCGATACTGACTTTTCTCAAACCTTCTACAACATGCTAATTTCTTCCACACTCCTACTATCACCAAAGTCTGATTAGGCCAGTTGCTTTGGTTCTCAGATGTCAGGCATGTGAAATATCAAAACGTTGAAAGTAGGAGCAACAATAGGCCAATTAGCTCCTCAACCCTGCTCTACCTTTCAACATGATCACAGCTGATCATCCAACTTTGTACCTTGTTCCCACTTTTTCCCCACATTCTTTGATCCCTTTAGCTGGGAGAACCATATCTAATTCCTTCTTGAAAACATTGAACGTTCTGGCCTTAACCACTTTCTGTGGCAGAGAATTTCAACAGGCTCACCACTCTCTGGGTGAAGAAATTTCTCCTCATCTCAGTACGAAATGGTGTACCCTACATCCTTAAACTCTGACCCCTGGTTCTGGATGCCATAGTCATCAGGAACATCCTTCCTACATTTACCCTAGTTAGTCCTTTGTAGGTTTCCCTCCCCATTCTTCTAAACTCCACTGAATATAGCCTTTACCAACCAGTCTCACTTCACACATCAGTCCCGCCACCCCAGGAGTTAGTCTGGCAAACCTTTGTCGCACAGTCTCCACAGACAGAATATCCTTCCTCTGGTGAGGTGACTAAAACTGCACACGATACTCCAGGTGTCGTCTCTCCAAGGCCCTGTACAATTGCAGCAGGACACACCTTCTCCTGCACTTGAATCCTCTTGCTATGAAGACCGACATACCATTTGCCTTCTTCACTGCCTGCTGCATCTGTGGTATGTCCTGCCAAACAATGTGATCTGCACAGCGGAGCTGATTTTGAAAAATTGGAGCCTCAATGCTCAGAGACAATACTGCGTTGGACTGCCTTTCTTGCCACTGGATTTGCAGATGCTGCAAAGGCACTGCTGGTGGTACTTCTGTCTTGAGATGCCTACTGTAGCTTGTCCAGTGACTTCAGGAAAGGAATGGAAAAACATGTCCATCTGGCTCTGCAAGAGTAAGGTTTCTTGAGAATGAGATTGTAAGTTTTGTATCTCAGAGTTCCCATGTACAAAACCTTCCAAAAGCACATAGAGACAAACAAAGATCCAACATCAGTCTTTGATCTGTCTTCCTATATCAACATGCAGTCACTGAATTTATGAAGGGAGCAACTTAAAGGTGATCTATATGTGGAAAATAGCTTTGCTGGGCAGTACAACAATTCCAAATTAACTGTTTCTCTTTATATCCTACACTCTTTCCCCGTACCAATTCAGTTATGTGGTAACTCTGTGTTATGTTCATTATGCACCAGCATATGCTTATTTGCACTAAAAATAGATGATTGGCATGCTTGAGAGTAGCTATTGTTGATAGGTTATGCATTATCTCATTGTAGCTATGCGTGTAAGCTTCTATCTGCTATTCCAATTGAAAGAAATTTAAGTAAGTAAAAACAAGGCCTTTCCACTGCCTTTACAATTCGGAAAGTTAATCAGATGGAAGGAGTTAATAGGTATGTCATTCTTGTGCTTCACCCTGAAGCTTGAGTGAGTCATTAATCCAACATTGAAAGCAGCACAAGAAAATTAGGTTGTTTGTTTATTCTCAGCCAGAATTCTGGTCTCCATCCAGTTGCAAGAAACCCAATTGCCTTTCTATGGGAAAGAGACAATGAGAATGATTTCTTTAATGATTTCCATGGCTTTTTAAAGCATGATAACAGGGAAACTGCATGATTTTTTTCCCTACAGTATGGAAGCAGGCCATTCAGTCCATCAAGTCCACAACAGCCCTCCAAAGTGCATCCCACCCAGACCCATCCTTCATTTCCCATGGCTAATCCATCTAACCTGCCCATCTTTGGACTGTGGGAGGAAACCAGAGCACCCAGACGACTCTTATGCAGCCACAGGGAGAATGTGCAAACTCCACACAGACAGTCACCCAAGGCTGGAATCGAAATCAGGTCCCTGGCGCTGTGAGGGAAGAAGGTACCTCTTTCAAGTTACAAACATATTGCCATTACTTCATCATTTGCAGGGAAGCAGGTCAGCAATAGAAAGCCCATTTCTCTGATTATGTGCCTGCTATTTTAGTTCTTCCCTGGGAGCACATAAGCTCACCATAGAGTGAAGTGGAGCTACATGTCTTTTCTGCTGCATGGTAAAAAGTGACACTAGATTGAGGTGGTATATTTACAAAATGTTATATTTTAAACTTGATAACATCCATGATTACTTTAATGATTTCCATGGTTGTTTATAGCATGATATCGCTTCATGCTTGGTAGAGTTAGTCCAGATCTTGATGTGACATCCATATTTAGCCAATAAGTTACAATGGCTATTTTTGATAAGGGTTAAACCAGCTAGAAATTACAATCACTGGAATAGTTCATAATCCCCCAAAACATGCAACTCTGTAAGGATAGATAGAAAGATGGTGCAGCTTCCAGGCTGTGCAGTAGGAAAGCAGAAAGGGCAAATATGTCTAAGCTGTTGAGAAATTGAGGTGAAACTAACCAAAACAATGGTAGTATAGAAGTTGGGTAGACAAACAGGAGGCTGGAAGAACACAGCAGCTATTGGAGGAAAGGAGCAGTCAATGTTTCGGGTATTACCCTTCTTCAGGTATAGAAGTTATTTTGCTTTCCTGTTCTCCTAACAGGGAAACTGCATAATTCCAAGTTCAGCAAAAGGCTCAACCACCATTCTATTATCATTTCCAAGTACCCCATTATTTGTCATCTTGGCCATTACCAACCAGAAGTATCAAGCATATCAACTGTATCAGCACCCTGGCAGCAAGTACAGTGCTAGATATATCACAATGAGTCCCTCATAGTCCTGAACCCCACCTAAAAATCCCTCCTGCCCATAACCTCAAGTCAGCAGTGTGATAAAACACTCAGCATTTCCCTGGAGATGGCATCCACAAGAAACAAAAAGTGTGAGGTCATCAGCAACGTAGCAGTCCTCTGATTAGCACATTTGTTGCTCATCAACTCCGATCCTGTTCATCACCAATGCATTTTGGTTCCATTGTGTACCATCAAGGGGATGCACTGTAGGAACTTGTTAAGTTATCTTCAATCCTGACTCATGAGACCTATCACCAAGAAAGTTGAAAGCATCGATGTCTTTGGAGCACCTTTCCCTACACAGTCTGTTCCAAGTTACAAACATATTGCCATTACTTCATGGAATTTCCTTCCTAACACTACTGTGAAAGATATCAATGCAAAGACTCCAGTGAATTGAGGAAAAGGACAAATACCCAACTTTTCATGACAACTTGGAATGTGTAATAATTGGGCTCACCACATGCAAAGAATAAATTTTTTTCTAAAGAAAATATGCTAAAACACTAGATTGCAAGAAGGGGTGTCCATACCTGAGCTTCAATCAAGTTCTTGCTGTAAAGGTTTCTGTCAGATCGCACAGCCTCATAGAGGTTCTGTTGTTGTCTCAGCTTACTGTCAGCCTCTGAGATTTTCTTCTTGAAGTCAAAATTCTGCATCTCATACACCTTAATGTCCTCCATATACTGAAGAACCTGTAGAAGAAAATTATTTCACATTTAGCATCCTATGAGTTGTTTACAATGTTAGATAAAGGATTTAACATTTTTAAAAACATCTTATTGTTTCTTGTGAATTCAAATTTTGAAAGCACGTTGAGAGGCTAGTACCACTTATACAATATTTTACACACATTTCTTTCCAACTTTTAAGCACACCAAACCTTTCAGGCACTTTTTGCACTTAGCCCAGCCATTTAGCCCTCTCACCAGCTTATGTTGTTTACAAGGTAAGGATCCTTTGAGTCCTTTTGCAACAATGTGACTTATATTCACAATTTGAAAATTGCATTTTAGCAGGTTAGGCTCATATTTTCCAATTTCTACACCAATCATCATTATATCTAAGTATGGCTCAAAACCTAGTGCGAATTACAGCTGAAATGAGGGAAATCTAGCACTGTCAGCATTTAGAACCAAGATGGATCAAACACATTTCACTTAGAACGGTCAGTAACTGGGAAAAGGAGAGAATTTCAGAATATCAGTCCAGGCTTTATTTCTGTCAGATCGCACATTTATCATCATAGATCATAGAATCCCTACAGTGTGGAAACAACCCTTTGGTCCAACAAGTCCACACCAAACCTCAGAGCATCCCACCCAGACCCATCCCCCATAACCCACGTAATCTACACATCCCTGAACACTACGGGCAATTTACCATGGCCAATCCACCTAGCCTGCACATCTTTGGACTGTGGGAGGAAATCGGAGCTCCCGGAGGAAACCCACACGGAGAGTGTGCAAACTCCACACAGACAGTCACCCAAGGGTGGAATCGAACCCGGGTTCCTGGCACTGTGAGGCAGCAGTGCTAACCACTGAGCCACCGTGCCATTTATGAGAAATGAAAGACTGTCAATGAATTTCCTCACTTTAATTAATGGATCTCATAACATTTTATTTTTTAAATAAGCTTCAGCCTCATTATCTGTGGAGTATAGAGGCACTGAGCATCGCAGATAACAAAATACAGAGATACCACACCAATGTTACCCTCCTATAAACCACGAAGGACTGCACATCGGAACAGATGAGTTACTGAGGAAAAGAAAGGTATCTGGGATCAAGCTCACGAGTATACGATCAGCAAGCATCGAATCAGCAAATAAATTGGATTATATGTATAGCGGTTAGGCTCAACTTAATTGTTTACACAGATGAAAAGCCATTATTTAAACCCAACTATATAACAATAAGCGCAGTTTTATACAAATGTGATATCCAAATCTATCAGGTTTAAGTGTTTGGATTTCAAAATAGCGGTAAATATATGCTGGTTACATTTGTGAACGTTTTATTTCAGAAAGTTAGGTTGGACAGTCCTTCTGGAACAATGACCTAACCCATTATGCATCAGAAAGTAGCTGACTGCAAACCTTTGGAGTTTAATGGAAATTCTTTGCTGGACTGGCTTATGACATTGAAGCCAATAGCTTGTATTCAAATCAGAATAAGCAATGATTGTTTTTGATTTCGAAAACTCAGGGATTGAAAGTCTTTAGGGCAATGCAGAAGAGATCTCATTGCAGGCAGAAGCAAGTCCCTGTCTGCGAAAGGAGCTTTTTTTTGAGCAGGTCGAGCAAAAAGCAGTCAACTCTATTGAAAGATTTAGTTTACAAAACATCTAAACAGGAATGTCTGGTTAGAAATATGCAGGTTTTTAAAAGCTAAGAAGGATCAAGCTCTCACTTTGGTGAATAAGACCATAAGATATAGCAGAAGTAGGCCATTCAGCCCATTGAATCTACTTTGCCATTCAACGAGATCGTGGTCGATCTGATAATCCTTAACTTCACTTTTCCCAATAGCCCTTAATTCCCTTAATGATTAAAAATTTATCTATCTCAGCCTTGAATATACTCAATGACACAGCCTCAATAGCCTTCTGCAGTAAAGAATTCCACAGAATCACAACCATCCGAAAGAAGAAATCCCTCCTCATCTGTCTTAAAAATGTGACCCCCTATTTTGAGATTATGACCTTTGGTCCTAGACTCACCAACTAGAGGAAACAACTTTTCTGCATTTACCCTGTTAAATACCCTAAGAGTCTCATATATTTCAATAAGGTCACCACTTGTTATTTTAAATTCCAATGAGTTCAGGCCCAGCCTGCTCAATCCCTCTTCATAAGACTGTCCCTCCTTACCTAGTATCAGACTAATGAACCTTCCCTGGGCTGTCTCTAATGCCAGTATATCTTTCCTTAAATAAGGGGCATAAAAGTTTTCACACTGTTCTAGCTGTGGTCAAACTAGTGCCTTGTATAGTTTCAACAAAACCTCCTTACTTTTATACTCCATTCCTATTGAAATAAAAGTCAACATTCCATTTGCCTTACTATTACCTGCTGAATTTGGACACTAGTTTTTTCTGTTTCATGAACAAGGACTCCCAAATCCCTCTATTCTGTAGCTTTCTGCAATCATTCTCCATTTAAATAATACTCAGCTCCTCGATTCTTCCAAAGTGCATAGCCTCACATTGTACTCCATCTGCCAAGTTTCTGCATACTTGCTTAAACTGTCTGTATCCCTTTGCAGATTCTTTGTGGTCATCCGTGTCACTTGCCTTCCCACCTATTTTTGGATCATCGGCAAACTTGGCGATAGCATAATCACTTTCCTCATCCAAGTCATTAAAGTATATTGTAAATAATTGTGGCCCCAGCACTGATCCATGTGGTACTCCACTATTTACATTCTGAAAGTGCCCCCTTATCCCAATTCTCTGTCTTGTATTTATTAGCCAATCCTTTATCCTGCAAATATACAACCTCCAATGGTATGTACTAGCATGTGGTACTTTATTGAACTCCCTACAAAAAACCCAATCTATTACATCCACTGCTTCTCACCTCTTCAAAAAATTCTAGTAAATTTGTCAGGCATGACATCCTCTTCACAAAGCCATACAGACTCTGCTTGATCATATTATGTATTTATAACTGCTCTGCTATGACATCCTTCATAATGTCCTTCACTTTCCCACGCACAAATATTAAGTTAACTGACCTCTAACTACTTGTTTTTTTTTGTCTCTTTCCTTTTTTAAATAAAGTTGGTACATTGACAGTTTTCCAATCCTATGGGACTTGTCTAGAATAGATTACTACCATTATGTCTGTAGCTACTTCCTTTACTATCCTAGCATGCATCCCATCAATTCCAGGGTATTTATTGGTGTTTAGCACCATTAGTTTCCCAATCACTTTTCTTTTATCTCTCTACATCTTCTACACCTTTTGCCAGTTAATTATTTGGTATTTTTGGAATGCTATTACTATCTTAAACTGTGAAGACTGATGCAAAAAATCTATTCAAGGTTCTGCCATTTCCTAGTTCCCCAACATTCTCTAAGGGGCCTATGTTTACTTTGGCTTCTTTCTTCCTTTTTATCATGTAAAAAGACTCCACATGGAACAGAAACTGGGGGGAATCAATTAATTAGAACTCTTGCTGAATATTTTAAGATCATTCCAACTCTGTTCTATATTTAGATAGCTTGTTTTTAATTTATTGCTTCTTTTAAGTGATAAACATCTATTCTGTCGTTAAAGAAATGTTGTGACTTCATGTGACTATATTTCAGTGATGGACGACCACATGAACTAAAATTTTTTATAAATTACCAAACAAGTCAGATTTCATTCTGGGATCTTACTTGTCCAGAGCTGGGATCATAACAAACAGTGATCATAACAGGATAGTGAAGAAGGCATTTGGTATGCTTGTCTTTATTGGACAGTACATTGAGTATAGGAGTCAGGAGGTCATGTTGCAGCTGTACAGGACATTGGTTAGGCCACTTTTGGAATATTGCGTTCAACTCTGGTCTCCCTGCTATAGGAAGGATGTTGTGAAACTTGAAAGGGTTCAGAAAAGATTTACAAAGATGTTACCAGGGTTGGAAGGTTTGAGCTATAGGGATAGGCTGGGGCTATTTTCTCTGGAGCATCAGAGGCTGAGGGGTGACCTTATGGAGGTTTATAAAATCATGAGGGGCATGGATAGGGTGAATAGTCAGTCTTTTCCTCAGGATAGGGGAGTCCAAAACTAGAGGGCATGGGTTTAAGGTGAGAGGGATAAGATTTAAAAAGGACCTGAGGGGCAACTTTTCCACACTGAGGGTAGTGCGTGTACGGAATGAACTGCCAGAGGAAGTGGTGGGAGGTGATACAATTACAACATTTAAAAGGCATCTGGATGGGTATCTGAAAAGAAGGGTTTCGAGTGATATGGGCCAAATGTTGGCAAATGGTACGAGATTAATTTAGTATATCTGGTCGGTATGGATGAGTTGGACTGAAGGGTTTGTTTCCATTCTGTACAGCTCTATGACTCTAAATGTGATATGCCAAAGCCTCTGAGTATCTATACTGGAAAGCTCCAAACCTTCACTTTGTGGTATACTTCACTCCCTCAACATGCAAACTAAATTAGTTTAAGCTACCAACCAGGAAATCACACAATTAGGCTCATATCTAACTTTGATCTGTGATCACAAAAGTTACTTCACTACACACAATTACCAATATAACTTCAATTAATTACAGGAATATCACATAATTTCAATCTTGTTTAGGATGAGTTAATGATGTTTGATGTGTTTTTCTCCCTTCCTTTTGTTTACTTTAATATTCCTTGGTGCTACTCTAAGCTTGTTTTACACTCATTTGTAATGCGTACATTATAATTTATTTTCATTACGAGTTCATTAAGAGAGCAAAGAGAAACAGTGTGAAACATATTAATATTGCCAGTGCCATTTACTGGCTGTTAACAATAATTTGGGCACTGCAGCAATTTAGAGCACAATAATAGAAAGCTAAGTTTCTGGAGGAGAAGGTGATCAGATTATGTGAAAGTGAAGCAGCTGTCCATTCCACACATTTATACCACGGCCTGGATTTTTATACTTAAGGTGAGTAGCAGGAGTCTGGAAAATTCCTGGCTTGGCACACTTGACTT